ACATTATGCAAAGTGAAATAAGCCAGAAGGAGAAAGACAAATGCTGAATCATTTTATTCATATATGGAATCTAGAGAAACCAAAAAAATGTTAGACAATACCAAACTCTCCCAAAAAGTGTCTGACTATACAACTGAGGAGAAGGCAAGAGTGGAAGGAAATGAGGAAGGGGCACAATGGACTATGGTGAAGGGTGCTAGGTGCCTTGGTGATAGGTGTGCTTTGGTAACATACACTGGAAGTGGTGGGGTCCTATATTTTTGAGCACTATCCACTGTTGAAAACCAATGTTACCTTAATTAAAAAGTCATTTAAAAAAAAAAGTGCAAGTCATAGAACAAAAGACCATTTGTTTTCACTAAATTACCTACATTTTAAAAGAGGTTTTTAGATTGGTATCCATGATATATAACTCAATATTATAACAGTGTTATTATTAAAACACAATAATAATATACCCTCACCATGTTGCTTCCACAAAAAGGGGAAGAAAACAGGTTTTTGACAAGTGCTTCTGAACTAGAACTATGGTGCTGCATGCTGTCTGATATGAACATGTATCAATGTGTAAAGCTGTGCCCCTGAAACTTATCTAGCATAGTAAACCAATAGTAAATCAATAGAAAATTTTTAAGAAAAAATGTGCTTTGACCCAAATTATTTTGATATTATGGCTCAGTATTTTTGGTTTACTTCTTCTTATTCTACCTCTCCTCAATGCTGATTTCCAGAAACCCAACTTTTACCTCTGTTCACTGATCATGTTAAGCAGACATCCGACCAATGTGCAATTTATTTTGTACTTTATAGAGCAAATATAAATGATGCTTCTTTAAAGTCATAATTAGCTGACAGCACTAAAGGTAAAAACAGTTCATTTAGCCCAATTTCATTTTCTCTTCTGTGTAAATCCAAATCATGCTTTAGGCAATTTGAAAAGATCAACTCAGAGTGGACTGAGCTTGAGTGTTCTTACACAAGCTAAGTCCAAAAACTAGTCCTCTATCAGCTGCTGAAGGTCAGCTTAGACTGCCTGGAGGGTAGGGAGCCCAGCATGAGACAATGGCAGGAAAATAGAGTTCCCTTCATTCCTTAATTCACATGCAAGTGAGGTGCCAATCAAGTGCTGACAAGCATGGAGAAGCCAAAATCAAAAGTGGGTAGAGATACACTTTCTAAAGAAGCAGTTTTCACACATTTCTAAGTGATATTTTTAATAGAGGCTGTGAATGCACAATATTAACAAAAATAAATAAAAGTAGTAAGAAAAACGGCCTCTTTATCAGCTTGGACTATTTGGTAAACTAAAAAAAGATTTACTTAATGTATTTTACAAAAAATATCAACACTCATTTGACCAAAGAAAGAATCTGAATACAAATTCACTTATTGAGGATCGCAAATAGGGAAGGTAAGGAGGGTTAAGACTGAAAACTGGGCCTTGTCACATAAAGCTAACTCTTTTCCAAATAAATAAAAAGGCTGAGATCCTTTATGTTGCCAAACTGACCATCACCTAGAAAGACAAGAGCAAAGCAGTCTGAAATGATCAACGCTGTAAACCATGGAATCACTTTATCAAAGTGACTGGTGAAAGAGATGATGAAAAAGCTTAAAAACTGGATTATTTTTTAATGACAATTTCCAATAAATGAGCTAGAATTTTTAGCAACTAATGTAAGATATAAGCAAGCTGCATTATTTGTAGATTACACATTTTTTGAATGAATTTGATAAACATATTTTGATTATAACTATTCATTCTATTATGTACAATGCGATTTCTAAGACAAATTTAAGGCTTCATAAATGATGGCTTAGTAACTATAACTATATACTAACATTAGTTAAACATACAAAATATAACAGTACAGGCATATTACTTTAAAAAATTCATTATTAGTTCATAAAATAAATAGCTTTTCTTTTTTGCCTTTTAATTGCAAGTTGCTACCATAGCTGTTTTATGAACATCTACTTTTACTAGGATGAGAAGTTTAGATGGCTGGAAATTTGGGATATAATAGGATGAGAATAAAAGCAGTGAAAGGTAAATTTTTAGTACCACTTTTTCTTCTTAGTATAGTAATGGAAAATGCCCATACTTGTTATGAGGTTAGACCTGATCAGGTTCCAAGATTTACTATCATGAAATGAACACAGGTTTTGAAAATGAATCTCTATTTATAATATATTCTTCAGGAACCTAATACTTTAATATAGGGTATAATTATAAATTATGTGCTCAGTTTTCAAAAACAATTAGCAAAATATGAAAGCTATACAACTTGTTATGCTCTGTTCAAAAGTAATTTATTTTCAAATATCTATCACTGGCAGCCTATGTAACTTAAAATACAATTATGCAAAATTTTAATTTAGCAAATGGCAAGGCAAATTGTAGACTAAGTCCTGACTAGTACCTGTTTTCAGACAATAAACATTGTAAGTAATTGTATTTATTGGTAAAACTATACTTGCCACAGTTTAAATTCAAAAAAGATTTTCTGAAAATCCATAATCTTAAAAAAAAAAAGTCAACTTGAATCTGGGTAGTAGAAAACGTTTCTATGAATTCAAACATGATGCTACAGACTGCGGCTTCTCTTGTAAGGTGTGTGTGTGTGTGTATGTGTGCGTGTGTGTGTATGCATGGGCACTGAGTTTTTAAATAAGTGTAAAACTTAATGACCTTTTTAAAAAGCTAAACATTTACTAATATCCAAATGATTTAATGTCTGATGGTATAGAATATTATTGAAACAACAAAAAAAACCAAACCATAAGATATCCACAATTCACATTCTCATAAGTTAATATTAAATTTTTGAATGCATGTAAAAGATGGAATTTTATACATTGTACTTATGTGAATATCCAAAGAAGATGAATATCTGTCTATATTTTAAACACCATGACTTCCCTCCTAGAATATAGTATAGACTAGAAAAGAACACTGTTCAAATTTAAGCAAAAACAAAAGCTTTACAAATATTTTATTTTTTGTCTTTTAAAAATGCTTTTGAAATTAAACAAAATTACCTTAAATATATTAATCCGCTTGTATCAAAAATTATGCAAAACTCATCAGTATACAATATTGTTTGTTTAGAGAAAATCCATTTTACTGTATCTGAAACTGCTTTTTTTTATAAGTTGCCACTATGTTTATTATGACTTCATTACATAACCCCATCAAAGTTACTTCAGAAAAAGTAGCAAATATATCACCATCTATATTTTAAAGCTTCAACAAGGTATGTTACAGTAAATAGACTTCTCAGTGCTGGCACTGCCTGACAGATATGTGATGTGCCAGTGGTTATATTATATTCCTCCTCCCATGCGTGCACCTCCTGCGGAGATAGCAGACTACAGAAGCTGACCCTTACTGAGACCATCTTGTCTCTCTGACAAAGCTCCTTTTTAACTTCTTACTTACTGGTTACTTCCTGTGATGGAGAAAAACTTTAGCTCAGCTTGTGATAATTTCACAGGCCCTGAGGACCCTGACCCTAATAGCCTCAAGGTCAGAAGTCAAGTCTTGTTCTGAAACATCTGTGTGCTTTATATTAAAGTGGAACAAAAGTAGAGAAATATCCACCAGTGTGTGACAAGAAGGACAGGCAAAATAGGACCAACACACTGGTCATCTGTTACTTTGTCATCTTAAGTTCATTTGAAAAACTGTTCAAAATTCAGTTAAATTCCAAATTTTATGTACAGGCCTTTGTAAACTAATTCAAGGCAAAATATGGAAATTTATGTTTTACACCAATTGGAATAGTTTTTCAGGCTTTCAGATATAATTTCAGGTACTCTAGGAGTCAATGAAATCTCACATTTTCAGTAATTTAATGACTTACAGAGGAAAGTTATGTATATGGTATAAATCTACACATCTGTGAGCAAACTGTTATCTGTATCAGCAGGGATTAAAAGAATTATTGGAAAGATAACATTTATATTTTAAAAATGGTTTCCATTAATGAGTTAAAGAATCCTAGGTATTATATATTGAAATGAATTCATCAGGGTTAAAAGTACTAGAAACTAATTTCCAATGGGGAAACTGATTTAAGAAATGAATGATTTAATTTATTTATTGATCTTAATAAAAGCATAAGCATTTGTAGATTTAAGTAGGCTAAAAAATGATCATGTGTCACCGAGTTTTATCTTTAAAGGATGTGGGTAAGCAATAAGGTATAGGATAAGTGAAAAAAAGGCATGTCAATATATTTAATGTTGATGACAAAAAATAATATAGTGACATGTATAAATGTAAAAATTAGAATGCCTACTTACAGCTATTTGGGTTTAAAACTATAAAATATACCTTTACCAAATGAATCATTTATTACAGCATTGATACTTCCTTGAGACTGAAGAGTTATCAACATGAAGGCACAAATTCTTCTTCGATACATGATTATTACTGATTATTACTCACTAACCACTCCTACTGGCACAAAGTGTGGTAATTGTAATAGAGCATATAATATAGACAAGTTCAACATATTGATAATTTTTACCATAATATACACATAATTTCATTTCTAAGAATCAATTTTGACATGTAAGTATACGGACAAATAGTTAAGTCCTATATAAGAAGCAGATTAATAAGCTTTTTGATAGTCATAATAGTAATTATATAGATTCTGATCAAGTACTAATTTGTAGAGCTAAAAGTCTGATTATCGAATTATACCCAAATATTCAAAGGGTCTATAGAAATTTTAAGCACTTTACAGATAACATATATGTAAATCAGGTGCATAAATAACAGGTAACATACATGTCATAAATATATAAAGTGAGCTATAATATTGAAAATAAAAAGTAATGTACATAAGTGGGACAGACAAAATTTTTCTGGTTAGCTCTACCAGAAAAAAATAAGTATTACTCAAAATAGTACTGACACTAAGAAAAGGGGAAAAGAAGGTATAGAGTAAGGAGTTCATGAATTAAGAAAAAGATAAATGCACACTTACTAGTTCAACAAAAGCAAGTCCTCCATAGCTGTGAGCAACAAAAAATACATTTTCAGCTGCAGATTGGGCAATGAAATGGTCCCACACATAAATTGCATGTTCTTCAGGAGATCCATTTTCCTATAAAGAAAACAAGTGTTATATATAATGTACTATACCTAATCATTATCATATTAGTCTAAAATTAAATTTTATGTTGCTTACATAGCCAAGATATAAGATGGTTATACCTCATTCAAACTAATAATACAAAAGAAAAATGAATTGAAAATTAAAATTGGAGAATAAATTAGTATTAAACTTTAGTGTTAAAGCTAATCTTAATTGTGAATATAATTTGAAACAAATTATTCAAAATAAGCACATTTTTGAGGAGAAAATGCAAACTGGGCATATCTGAGATACTGAAATATATCTAAGTATATTAGACTTGCAGAGGAGAAAATCAGTGATCATAAAACTTAAGGAAAAGAAAAAGATAGTTACATTTCTAATTTATATTTGAATATACATATACAAATAGATTATTTGACATGAAGCTAAGTATTTGTAAGCTGATAAAAAGCATAACAAATACTTTCTGTTTAAATTATTAAAAACATACTTTTTCAAAAGCATTTTCTAATAGACCTTATTTCTAGGACTGGAAGAAATTTAAACATATAGACGTAAGGGGCCTTTGCCTGTCTCCTAAACTTGCCAAACCCAAAAGCTAAATAATACTGATCAAAAGTCACACTGCCAAAAAAATAAAACATCATCAAAAAGTTTTTTTTTTTTTTTTAAAGATTTTATTTTATTTGTGCATACAGAACTGGGATACAGACCAGAGATGTGGAGGGTGAGAGAATTCACCAGAGACAGAGTGGAGTGCAGAACAGGCAGATCAACGAAATACACTGCTGAGGGGAGCAGCGGGCGGGTCAGGAGAGGTCTGCCACGCCATGTGGTCACCTCCGGGGCAGGCGGGAATCGAACTCATGAGGAAGCGGCTTTAGATTCTCAGTGCTGTGCTTTAACCCACTGCGCCACCAGGGAGGGCCTCATCAAAAAGTTTTATACCAATATTTCTTGGAAGGTTTAACACCAAAAACCAAAAATCTTAAGAATGTCAAGATATTAGACAATGAACACAATTTATTCATATTTTACATGTTAGATATTTTGTAGTATCACATTAAAGTCTAGATGAATGACATTACTTACTATCTAACAGCTACTATTCCCTTATACCTATCTCTACCCTAAATTTTTCTTCAAAGTTCCAGACCAGTATATCTAATTACTTAAGAAGGTCATTTCTCTTTGAATTGTCTCAGATACTGTTGACACACCTGTTTCAGCATTGCTAAGTGTCTCCAACAAACTTGTATCACTGACATTGTTCTCTATCTCCAGCTGCAATCTTAGCATATTTTATTTTTTTTCTCCCTCAAAGTCCATTTCTAATCAACCACTAAAATTCTGTTGAGTCTGTCTCCAATTGTCTTTTAAATCTATTCACTTCTCTCCACTCTCATCTCCTCTGCTTAGCTCATGCCATCTCAACAGGTGGGTATCTGCCAGCCCAATTTCCCTGCCTCTAGGCTTGCCCTTCTAATTGTGCTCTCTAGTTCCACAGTGAGAGAAGCCTTTCAAAAACATGCATATGATAATGTCAACATGTTATTCCCTGCTTCGAACACTTCACCTTTTTTTAATTTCCCTAGTTCAAATTTAAGGCCTTTATGGTTTGTTTCTACTTCTCTTGAACGCTATGTCTTACTAATGTTCTGCAAAATACCTTGACCCAAAATATAGTCTTTCCCTGTTGAGAGACCTTAGAAAACACTTGGAGTGATTCAACTGTAGGGAACAACTTGAAGTAACTTAATTGTGCCATGCTTTTATCATCTCTGGGCTATTTCCTCTGTTTAGAACATGACCTGGTGCTCACTTCCCACACCACCTTCACCTGCATAATTAGTATTCTCAGTATTCAAATGAGACATCATCTTCTCTAGAAAGGCCCTTTAACCATCCCCAAGCCTAGGTAATGTTCTCCATCAACATCCTGTGTTTGTTCCTATTATTGTTCTGAATGGTTTCTATTATAATGGCTTCTTAGATTATATATTTTTGAGGCCAAGTATTTAAAGTAAAAAAAATAAAAAATGAGGCCTCCCTAGTGACACAGGGGTTAAGGACAGTGCTATTAAGCTATGAGCAGCCACTGCTGCAAGAGTTCAATCTCCAGCAGGACAGGGAGCTAATCGGGTGCAGCAGACCTCTCCTGTCCTATCTGCTGCTCCCCTCAGCAGTGTATTTCAGTCCATCTGCCTATTCTGCTCCCCACTTGTCTTTGGTGAATCTTTTTGCTCCCTGCACCTCTGGCCTTGTACGTATAAATAAATCAATCTTAAAATGCATAAAATGAAAGTATAACCCTTATTTTTAGGATGATTACTTACAAGCTCATAGCTATATTAAATTACAAATATACTTTCAAAACTATTTTTCAGTAACATGAACATCAAATTATATGATTTGTGATTATATGTACAAAGTATATGAAATAAAAAAGGTTAATAACTTAGAAGGAAATTTTCACAGGAAATTTTTGCTTTTGATAATTTAGTTTTCATAAGTTTAAAAAGTAGGAAAATGGTTATATAAATCAGAATAGCAGTTCTCTCTAATGAAGACAGACAGAGTGGTGATTGGGAAGCAGATTTGTAGTGGCTGACAGTGTTTTCATTTCTTGACTAGGGTGGTAGTCACACAAGTGTGTTCTTTATATTTATTCTTTAAACTAATATATATTTAGCTCTTTTCTGTACAATTATATCAAGTAACCATAGGGTTTACTGTGCAATTTTTTGTGCTCTCTGACAGTGAAGAAAGGTATTATTAGTAACTTCACTGGGAGAACAGGTCTAAATTGAGACTATTCAGAGAAAACCCACCTGGTCACCCCAGTTACATCTCACAATGAAACAAATGTGAAAACAAAACAGGCACAATGGTAACAGATTTTCTATCTTTTATAGTTGGCAGAAATAACAATCGTCAATACTGTGGTAGTCCTAAATAAGTTTTTCTATATGATGAGAATAAAAACATGTAGGACATGGATTACTCTGCCCCCATTAGGCTCTGTGCTGGAAATGTTGGTATAAGGATGATTAAAAAAAGAAGAAGAAGAAGAAAATCCCAGATGAATTACTGGGATCTACTGATCAACTAGGAATAATTACACGGGAACCTATGATTTCTATGGACCTATGATGCAGAAAAATCTGGATTATATACATTAGTGGTCTGAAAATATAAACAAAACTCAGTCATGGAATTTAGTCTGAGATCTCACGGGTAATACAGTTCAGAATTAGGTAAACCCTAAAGGCAGAGCGCACTTCCAAGACAGTAGATCAGTAATCCATATGTAACACTACAGAATATACTACTACTCAGGGTGATAGCAGAATAAATGGAAAGGGAGGGGCAGAATGAGTCCTTAAATAAGGAAGACTCAGAAAACTTTTGTGACAAAGGTGAAGGAAAGTGCCAGAACAGATCCAAATGATGGGGTCATTTGGTCAACACTATGACTAAGGACTTCTAAGAATCATCAACTCCTTTCACTGTTCACATATAAAGACTACTGTTTTCAGAGGTTCTTATAGGTGAGTTCTTTCCTCTATAGTTTATGGAGACAGTCTCTGTTAATAGTTTTCCAGTAGAAAGAAAGTGTCCTAAGTACTTTTCAGCCAGATGCTCAGGTTATCAAGTCATTCTTTACTTTTAGATTTTAAACATGTTCTCAAATGTGAAGCCAAATTTAAAAGCTATGCCAATACCCACTATAGGGTCATTTACAGGTACAACTAAATGAGCACACAAAACTGTACTGGGTCACACCTGCTTTCCACCACCTCACAAAGATACAAGAGAAATCAGTTGCCTGAAGGCAGCACCAAACGTTGTTTCTTAGTAGGTATCTTGTAGTAGGCAACATAGCGTTTTCAGGAATTATTCTCTTGGGCTGCTGGAGGTTAGCTCAGGAATAGGGGAATCACACTCAACTTAGGCAGATGCAGGAGCTATCCTGACTTAAAAAAAAATCTTACAACCCACAAAAGTCCACACCTTTTGCAACAATTCCATAGGCGAAGCCTCCAAAGTCTGCATGCAAGGGAAATGCCCAAACAATAGAGTTAAAACCTTCAGAAAAGATTAATGCTATGGTAAAGTACACTGTTACTGTTCTTAATCCAGTTGCAGTGGATGTTGTAATGTGTTTCCCAGAACCCACTGCAGTTATATAGCACCCATTTCCGGAGTTGTGTGTTTGTTTCCACCTAATCACTTTAGCTGAGGGATTGTTATCAGCTAAAGAAAGTTAACATGTCTAAAGTTACATTCCACATCTGAGGAAATGTATACTCAATGCCTGGTTGAGATGATGTGGATCTATAAAGATCTGATCTCTTACCTCAAGGAAGGACATCCCCAAGAAGACATCCCAGACTCAGAGATCACCACGTCAGTACCTGAGACCTTTGTTGTTACTTCACTGTAGTTTAACTCTTGTCAAATTCTATTTTTTTTTTAAAATCTCTTTCACAGGTGTTGATCTCAAAAGAACACCCCAACACACTTCTGTATACAAATATCCACTTCAGAATATCTGTTACCTGGGAAATCCAAACCTAACCTTGTCATGTTTTCAGGCAAACAGAGCTAGAAAGTTAACTGAAGATCAGATCCTTATGCAGAAGGGAAAAGGACATCACTAACCTTTGAACTACACATCTTGCAAGAAATATATGAAAAATATTTATAATATATTGTTTGCATGGATCATTATCATTTCTATGTTCAAAACTACTGCAACATGCTACTGACTCAAGTTTATCTCTCAGCTAGTATTAGGCATAATACTATACTGTTTCACTGATTCTCTTCTATCCTGCTATTTCTTTAATCCATCACAATACTTCTTTCTTCTAGAATATAAACAAATTGATAGTAGTCGAGTCTCTTTTAAATTCAAATTATAAACACAAAGCATTCTGTGGGCATTCAATACATAACTAATAAGGCGAGTCTGTTGGCACTGTTCACAAAATATGAAGTGG